TCCTCAATTTTTAACTACTTATGGTTTTTAGGTCACCTTTTATCATGTATTTATAATTTTTCATTTTTATGAAAAAATATTTTCTTTATTTGTGAGATGTAAGTAGTCCTTATGTACTATCAAGTTATTTCATTATGTTATTCAGTTCAACTGAATAATATTTTGACTAGTATTGTATTATTTTGTTGGTCTGAAAATTTTTTTCTCAGTTTCATTGAGATATAATTGATATATAACACTCTATAAGTTTAAGGTGTACAGCATAATGAATGATTTTTTGACTTGATTCTGGCTAACTGTGAGAAAGGTGTTTTAAAGTCTTTCATTATAATTGTATATTTATAGTTTCCCTTGCTTATATGTATTTATCTGCTAACAAACATCTTTTGATGTCTGCATTATGACTGTTATATCTTCTTGATTGTCTTATATCACTGTATAAGGATGTTCCTTAAACTCTAAGTGCTTTTAGCCTGCAGTTCCACCTTCTCTGATATTAATGTTACCACTCCTTTAATTCGTTTTTAATTTGCCCAATATTTCTTTGCCTAACATTTTATTTTCACTCTTTTACTATCACCCTGTTTCAAGTATAAATCAATATGTCCAATGAGCCAGATCTTCACATTGATCTTTTTCTAGCACTTCAAACTTTAGCTTTTAACATTGAGCTTATCCTTTTCCCCCTAAACCCTTCTCTCTTCGTTATTTTCCATTTTAATTGTGATGAACAGCTCCTGTTTTGCCGTTTATTACGAATAAAGCATTCAGATATCCTTCTGCTGTGTCGTGCCTCCCTACTTTGCCCCACCTCCACTCCCAACCCGGGAGGTCTGGATGGTGTTTCCTCATGCCTGCTTCAGCCCGGCATGTGCCTGCACCCTGGTCAATTTGACATCACCTTCTTCAAGCCTTAGGGATTCAAACAGAACTAATGCAGTGCAACTGGATCCAGAAAAGTGATGGCTCTCTTTCAGAAAAGGCACTTCAGAGCACAGACTTTGAAACCAGTATTCCTGGGTTCAAATGCTGCCTCTGTCTCTTAGTTGTAACTTTGGCCTGGTTATTTAATCTGCATCGGTGTTCTTACCTACCTCATTCTTGTAAAAATTATAAGCGTCAGTATATGTAAGAAGTTAGAACAGTAAAAAGTTAGAATAGTGCTTATGATGTAGTAAGCAAATATGAGTGTTAACTGTTGTTATTATTTTATCTTGCCCAGGATCTGAGAGGACAGACTTGGAGCTGTTGGCAGCCTCCATGTCACTACAGGACACGTGAAGTCTGAGAAGGGACAAAGTCAGCGTGAAGGAGAACAGAACCAAGAGAAGGTGGGACTTGGGTCCTGATCACAAGGTTGAGCCCTGGAACAAATTGGTCATAAAGCTGGTTGTCCCCAGGATTTTTCAGACATGGGGCAATAAAACCCTTTTTTACTTAATATTGACTTAAGTCAGAAAGAGTCTTAAAAAATGCAACTGTCAAGTAGTGTCTTGGGCTAGAAATTTAGGAACCATTTTAATTCTTCCCTCTCCCTCACTGTCCACATCCTGTGTGCCCAGTTGCACATTCTATACTTCCTCAATTTCTTGTTTTACACTTCCCTAACTCAGAAGAGAAAAAAGAAAATCAATCCTTGCTGAGTATTTGTTATATACTTATAGACTATGCTAGGATATTTTCACTTTTTAATCTTGACGACAACCTTATGAGGAACCGGAAGCACAGAGACCGGAAGTGATCGAGGTCACACAGTCAGCCAGTGGTAATTCCAACTCAAGAAGCCACACTTGGCACCACTGTGCCCTTCTGACTTGATAAACATTTGCTGAATGTGGTGGCATTTGGTTCTAGACTTATTGTGGTGATCACTTATAGATATGTAAATGTCTAATCACTGTGTTGAACACCTGAAACTAATATTGTATGTCAACTGTAACTTAAAAATAAATAAATAAAGGTACATTTGATGAGGGAAAACGAAAACAAAACAAAACCAAAAAACATTTGCTAAATGGCTAACTCCAGGAGCAATACTTATAGAACTCGTTCCAGGCAATATCCCACTTGGCATAGGCCAGTGGCTACATAGTCCTTTTTGAAAATGACAATGACCTTAAAGCATTCTAGTCAATGTCAAGAGTCACACATACATGTCTTGACCACTTTTCTCTGAGAACTGGTCATCAACCACTAAATCTACCCATTTCTCAGCCCCAAAGCTTGCTGAGCGTGTTTGCAAAGAGAGGAGCTACACTGGGTGCATCATGGCCATGTCACACCCTCCAATCATATAAAGACAAACAAATGACATGGTGATTCTCCCAGCATGAATTCACACATGCGTGGACACACATGCGTGGGAACATGATCCATCTTCTTAAAACTATACTGTCCATAAAGTCCTTTCTAAACAATACTGTAAAACTTTTTTTACCTCATTCCTGGGCTCCTCACATTGTCCCTTAGAATATTTATTACTTGTCCTATAGGTGCCCCTTTTCAGGTCCTCAAATCTGCTGAACTCATGCTGGGGCTCTAGCCCTCTCCTGAGAACTCAGTGAGCTTCTGCTCCTCTCCTGGGTCTCTGCTTCAGGGAGGCCCTTCCTGCCCACCCTAAGATAGGCGCCCCTTCCCACCACCCCTTACTTGACATCTCAGGCTCTTGCTGATCGTCTTTGCAACCCTTAGCACAATGTGCAACTATTGTATTCGCATGTGCATTTACTTGGGTTTTGTTTGTGTTTGCATATGTTTTTCTTTTGTCCTTCTCCTTTAATAAAAGGAAACTGAATGGACGTCTTGAGAGCAGGGAACCTGTTTGTTCTGCTGTGTCCCCAGTAGCTCACAGAGGCCCTGACGTGTAGGATCTGGAGGGCTGATTTCACCCCATTGCAGATGGCCTGGTGTACCCCTTTTAAACTGCTTGATTGCTATAAATGGGCAAAATGGATAAAAATTCCCAAACACGGAATCTTTCTTTTTTCCATACAATTCAATTGGTCCTTGAATGATTTCTATATTCTTTTCCTGTTCCTGTGTGGCTAGCTTAAGCGTTAGAGTCCTAAACAATGCAACTGTCAAGTAGTGTCTTAGGCAAGACACTTGGGAACCGTTTCAATTCTTTCCCTCCCCTCACTGCCCACATCCTATGTGTCAAGCTGCACATTCTACTTCCTCAATTTCTTTTCACGATAATTCTTGTTTTACACTTCCCTAACTCAGGGAAGAAAAAGAAAATCAATATGTGCTGAATACTTGTTATATACTTATATAATTCTAAAGACATTTTTAATGTTATCCCATGGGATCCTGAACTTCTCTCATGCTTTTGTCTGGCTTGACCCCATCTTTAAAGGGCTGTTGATAACAAACCCTTACACTTTTTCTTCCAAAGGCTCAGTGTCCCAGCTGGGAAGTAAGGCAGGTAAGATATTCTAGTGGAGGAGAGGGGTACATAGGGGACTCTGGAAGAACCTAAAAAACAGAGACTTGTTCTGAGGAAGGCCAGGGTTAAAATTTCACCCACCCAAATTATCCACGATAGAACCCTTGGGCAAGTTACTTAAGTTACCTTTATTCTGAGGATAATAATAACTAGGGTTGCTATGAATAGCAAATGGTGATGATATATATTGATATTTTTGCAAAATGAAATGATTTTGTGCTTGGTGCATACTAGGTACTCAATAAATCACAGCTTTTTTTATCTAACAGATTTGCCCAAGATCTCCATAGTAAGTGGCCTGGAATTCCATTACCTCTTGCTTTGTAAGATCCTAAAGATAGTTTCTATACAAGCTGGGGATTTGTCTCACTTCCTAGGTTGTGAGCTCTTCTAGAACAGGGGTGAAGTCGCCTACCTCTTTGATCTAGGGGACTATACAGTGGTTACTACTCACTCGCTAGTCTCTTGAAATAAGATAACATTTATTATGCAGAAATTGAGTTTTCTACTCAATGGTGTGTGTTAATAGATTAGGCAAATGCCCCTCTGAGCTAAGTAAGCACCCAGGATCCCAATTCCACTATCTCCTACCTCCAAGAACAACTCCCTCTGTACAAATCTAACCAAGGAGAATATAAAACAAAATTTTAGTGCATGAGTAATTAGAGTTTTATGTTCAAACAGCATGAAAGAAAATACAACTTGTAAGAGTCACACTAAGGGGAAAGGACACTTTAACCTCAACTAAACTAACAAATATTTGTCAGCAACCTGGAAATAATTAAAGTTTTTTATATACAGTATTGTGTGTCTATGTGCCTATCTAATGATTCATTAAGTGATTCATTCCCTCTGCCCAAATCCTAAGAACTGCCATTTCCTTTTATGATTTTCTATTAAATCCTTCCTCTTGCTCGGGCCCTCTACACCCTTCACTATGAAACTGCCCCTAGAGGGAGCTCCCTGATGTCTTTCTTGCCTTCTAGAATCCATACTCCACACTGGCACCAGACAGGTGACTCCAAAATTCCACTGACTGCATCCCTGCTCTGCCCCCAACCCTTCAATATCTTCCCTTGCTTACTCTATGCAGCTCCTTAACTTAGAACAGAAGTCCCAATGACCTAGCAAGAAGAAGGCTCAATATCTCTTTAGCATTTTTGAGGCCCAAGCCTAGCTGGCCAGTTCTTATTTTAAAATACATTTCAAGATCCTTAAATGCCATAGAAGGTAAATGAACTATAGAAATTCTAACTAACCAAATAAACAAGTCTTGGACCTTCATAAAATGTGTTGTTACCCAGTCGTTAATAAATGTTGCTGAATAAGAGAAAAATGGTGTCAGACAAATGTCACATAAAATACATGCAATGAGAAAAAATGCAGTGTCTACTTACTTAAATAAAAAAACCACTAGTCCCCTAGAAAATAAAGACAACCCTGGCCAGATTTCTTCCCTCTAGTCCTACCTCCTAACTTTCTCCACCCCCCAACCCCACCCTTGCTGATTATAACCCTAGGCTGAAGCAGCAAAGCTATTCAGTGTTCCTGAGCCTACTCAAGGTTTACCCAGCCTGCAATCTTGCAGTTAACCTTTCTGTGGTGAGTATTTTTGCAATACAGAATGCCTTTTCTGTGTTACAAATCTTTTGTTTAAAAGGAAATATTTTTAAAAATAATAAATTATAGAGCCAATAAAATCTTATCGTGTAACTAACACAAGCCAAGGCATTAATACCTAGGTATTAATCTAGGTAAATCTTTTAAAAACTTACATGTCTGTAACATGCGATTGTCTTTTAAAATAAATTTGGCAGTAGTGATTCTTAAAAGTCTGTGTATATATATCATGACTTTTTTTTTAAGATATGCCACTAGAAGATACATTTTTAAGAGAAAAAATGTTCATCATCATTAAAGAAGAAATTATTGTTATCACCATCAAGACTGGTGTGTTTAAATAGAATATTCTAAATTCCTTCCAGAAAATTTTTTCTTGTTTTGTAATTGGTTTCAAGATTCGCTGTTGGAATTGGTTTTGCTAGTAGGGGGGGGCCACAATTTCTGTGTCAGTGATTTTGAGGTCTTATTTATTGTCAGAAGCTAATTTTAAATGTATTTGTTTTTATATAACAAAAACAATTTTTTGAAACCATCATGATCTGATCACTTGTTATCTTTTCTTGATTTGTAGTCCTTTTATTATCAGCAATATTTCCAAGGAACTTCTCAGTGTTTTCATTGTTGAGAGAATAATTAGCTTTTCTCATTTGCATGATTTAAATAAAAGGGAAAAAATAAATTTTTTTCCTCCCTTTAACTTCCAGTTTCCTAAGGTGAACACATTTGTTAAAGATGGTTGATAAAAGGGAGGTGGGTTTGAGAGGTGGTAGTTGAGATGTCTGGATATCTAGCCTAGAGACTCCAAAACTGTATTGGAAACCTACAGTTTCTGTATTGGTGCATTTGTCCATTCTTTTTTTTTTTTTTTTTAATACCCACTGAGTATCTACTTCATTCCAGGCACTATGTTAGGATAAAAAAAATGAACGGCCAGCACCCATGGAATTCAGACTCCGGTAGAGGCAAGGGACCTGAAAACAGATGATCTTAAAATATAACGAAAACCAGAAAGATGACTTTAGAGGCCTTAAATGCATATGTGTGCTACTGATTCACACCCCTCTATAAATAAGTAAGTGTAAAGGAGTCCAATATAATTACAGTTATTTCCCTCAGGATTACAATTATTTGGGGAGGGAGGCTAAATATTTTTCCACAATTTTCTTTCTTTTATTTTACTTTATTGCCCCAGCTTTATCGGTGTCTTAAGGCTGTGCTTAGTTTACCTGGAAGTAAACTATTAAAATATTAATTCCAAGGCCACTAACCCCCTACCACCAGACCAATGGATCAGAATTCAAATGGAGCCAAGTTGTTGGTATTTTGCAAAGGTGAATTCATTACAGTATCTAACTTTCCATATTGCAATTCTTTTATCTCTGTAGCACTGACCAGGAAGTTACATATAATTAAAATTAGATTCCATGTATTTTACCACATTCTTTTATTGTGACACTGGGTAGGTTTTGGGAACATATAATATAAAAGTTTTCCAGGGTCTGTGGTGTAGAGCTTGGGATTTTTTGTTCATTAAATATAATTCATTAGTGCCTACACAAGATGTACTACTTAACAAAACACTATCAGCTTGTTTTAAATGGATTGTTTAAATATCTGTTGTATCTTGTGTTGGCTAATTCTTTTTTCTAAATTTTCCCACTGGTCACCTGCTAAAGCAGTCCCAGAACTGGTTTCTGGGGGAAATTCAGGCTTTCCTGCAGGTATGCCTTTAGCTTATCTCCATGTTGAATTAGGATAGCCTTTAACTAGCTCTAGTTACTAGGGTGGCCTTCCATTCAGGTGTGTTGACCTAGTTATATATTTTTATTTTTATAACTGTGCATTTGCCTTATACATCTTTCCTTCTGCATACCTGCTCTTATGTATAATAAGCAGCCCTAGTAGGGAATCTGAACTCTAGTTCTTGTCAAAGACTTCTAATCCAGCCTCACTGCTGTCCAGTTATTATCAAACTCCAGCTGGTGGAAATATTATTCATGGAGGAATGTCAACGAATATTCATCCAGGTGTGTCTCTGAATAATCTAAATAACTTGATTTTTAATCTTGAATCATCCCTGATTATCAGAGAGGTAAGTACTTAGAAAGGATTGTTTTAGCTTCTCATAGATTGCTTTCAGTGATTCTACTCCAGCCTTGTGCTTTACCCTAAATTAGGAAATAGGATCGGGAAAGTCACTGTTCTATTTATTGTAGAAAAACTGTTAAAAGCCTTGACCATTCCATGTCACTTATCTTTTTTTTTTTTTTTTTTTGAGGACCTTGATGATAAATTTCTCTGGATCTCAATCTGTTTTTATTTTATGGACATGGTCAATCTCCTAAATGTTTTTGTACCCTCTTTGCTTTGCTAGGTAGGAAGTTCAGAGTCTAATTTGTAGCCCAGAGTCTAATCTGACACTGTACGGAAACCTTAAGGCATGCACTAAAAGTGCTCTAGGCTTTATTTTCTCTGTGCCTGATTTCTTTATTTTTCATTTCATATCTTATGACTATATATGAAAATTTGTAAACTGCTCAAATTTTAAGAACAAGATGACAGTATGAATCAGTTTCTCAGCCTTGATGCTATTAGGACAAATTCCTTATTGGAATGGGCAGGTAGTTGGGGGAGGAGTTGGGGCAGAAAGTGAGGAGAGGCATCCTTGGCCTCTACCTACTAGAGGCCATAGTAGTTCTCCTTCCCTCACCTACTCCAAGCTTTGACAACCAAAATGTCACCAGACATTGCTAGATGTCCTCTGGGGGGAAAAAAATTACCCCTGATTAAAAATCACTGGTATAAATGAATAAATAAACTGGTATTAAGCATAGGGGAAGAAAAGTTTTCCTCACCTCTGTTTGGGTCCCTGCCTGAGTCTGAAAATTAAATGGACAAAGACAGATTGACACCTAAAAGCACACGAATTTTATTAAATTTTCACATGTGTATAGGAGCCTTCATAAGAGAATGAAGACCTAAAGAAGTAATCAGGGCAGGAAGCTGTTATACCTTTTAGGCAAAGAAACAAATTTGTGAAGAATTGACACAAGAAGGCGTTTTGCCACAGTGGTACTAAATGGTACCACTAAGATTTGCTTATTTTCAGCCCTGAATTTCCTATCTCTGGTGATAATGATGTCTCCCTTCTTGCTGGTATAAGGATGCCTTTAACAAAGAAATTTATCTCCTGTTTTCAGAGAAGAAGGGTAAGGGGAGAGATGCCTCTGCTTTTTTCTCAGACTCTTTCAGCTTAAGATATTCAGCATGCCAAGGTGTCACATTTTGCAGTGGCATGTCCTGAGCCCCATCAAGGGCTTAGTATTTTCTAAGCTAGTGCAGGCCATTATACTTGGGGGACACAAAGATGATGAAGCCCAGTAAACTGCCCCCAGAAAAAGTGGCTGACACGTCAAAAAGAAAGAAAGAAAATATAAGTACTTAGAATGTGTATATCTAAATCTCATACCTGAAGTTAGTACAGTCATGTGTCACATAACATTTCAGTCAACAATGGACCACATCCATGATGGTGGTCCCATACAACGGAGTTGAAAAATTCCTGTTGCCTAGTGGGAGAGAGGCCAATCCAATTTGGAGGATTAGCAATGGTTTCATGGAGAAGGCGGTATTTTCGGTGAAATGTCAACACATAGTTAGGGGAACAGGAGGCAGGAACTCGCAGCAGAAACAGTTTAGAGAAAATGTCTGCGGAGTGATAAGGAATTTGGCCCGACCAATAAGGGAAGAAAATGGTAATCAAGGACTGGAAAAGTAGGATGGGTCATGTTTTAAAGAGCTTCTGAGATCGAGTCTAAACGGTTTGGGTGTGAAAAGGTAGTCTTCTCATGGAAACATATATTCCTGACCCAGTTTAACAAATTATAAGATAAAGGTAGAGAAAAAGCTTAATTAATTAGTTCACCAGAGATTAGTATTGGTAGAATGACAATGGAGATAAAGAAGGACCTAATTTATCATGTACTATTTATCTCCTCCCTCACCTCAAATTGAACAAAGTGCCTTTTATTTTTTAATGAAAAGATTACTAGACTTTTCTAGTGTCAGAAAAATACTCAGGCTTGCGCTATCAAAAATACAAATACTCCCCAGAGAGTTTCTCATTTAAACATTATCAGGCATGAACACCATTTTTAACACGAGGAAAAATGTTTCGGGAGTGACATATTATTTATAGAAATCATTTCTCTTAAATTAGGAAATGCCATACCTTCAAGAATGCCTAATCATTTTTAAATATCTTTACAACTGAGAATTTTCATCATTTTAGCTAAAATTTCAAAAATGACATAATAGGGGAGGAAAAGTAATTTTCCCTCTACCCTTCTAGACTCTTGGCTGGGGCCCCTGTAACCAAAATCAGATTAATAAGAGAAGAAACAAACAGAAGTTTATTAACATGTATATCTCATAAACATAGACGATACCCAGGGAAATAACTAACTCTCAGAGATAGCTTAGAATTCAGGCTTAAATACCATCTCTAGCTGCAGGTAAAAGAGAAGGTGTGGAAAAGGCTAGTTATGGGGAAGTGACCAGGTAAACAAAAGTAAGTTTTGTTCTGCCTATTGCAGTTGGCTTCTTGTCCACTGATAAGAATTTCTTGAGAGTTAGAGTTATCCTTCTCCTCCTGGTGTTACAGAGAGGGAGACATCCTGACAAATGGAGGTTTCTTTTATAAGTGTAAACTTCCCTTAAAAGGTAACTTCTACTCTGTTTTCAGAGTTCCTCCTATGTCTGCCGTTTCTCAAAATAATCAGATCAAAATAACTCTTACGCTGAAGAGGGATATTTTAGGATGGTCTACAACATAAGTGGTACACTAGGAAGAACCTAAGTATGATACAGAGACTGCAGATTTCTGTATGAGACGCAGAGGTGCTGAGGATGTGGAGGGGGACAGCTGGCTGCAGATGCATACTCAGACCGAAGACTAAAAGATCCAGGTTTGTGATGGG